CTTTTTGCAGCCATCACGACAATCTTCTTGGCAGCTGAGAAGCAGTGGACGCTTCTTGATTGGAAGCCAAGACAACTCTTTCAGMTTAGTAAAGAAGAAGAAGATGGATAAAGTTCCTGTTTTTGCCACAGGGAAGAGAAAAGAAGATGAAGAAATAAAAAGAAACGATTGGAAGCCAAGACTACCAGAGAGATCGAGACCCTGGAGGTTCTGTCAGTACTGCAAAGAATGGGGGACCAGCCCGGCGAGATTCATTGTAGGGAGGTCGAGTCGGATGAGACGATTCTCCCTCTCGTTCCAGCACGAGACGCCAACAAACTTGCAAAGGAAACCGACCGAGTTCTTGACGCCAGTAAGGCATTTCACATCGTCCTCTATAGACATAGAGGCGAAAATCATGGCGGAGAGGAGGATAAGAAACAGCTGGGATCGATCTCTCGATCTCACCATGGCGGCAACGAGTAGTCGAAGAACAAAAGTATGAGTTGCAAATTGACTTCAGTTCTGACATCAGGAGAGAGAGAATGCGGGTGTGAACTGAGGAGAGAAATGGAAAAATAGAGTGACACAAAGAGAGGTAGAGATGAGAGGGAGAGCGGGAAGACAGAGGAAAAAAGTGACGCGTTATGCATGCAAAATGAAGGAGAGAGAAGTGATCATAGCACTTGTCTTTGATGCATCGTTCATACGTGCAATTCATATAGAATCACAGTAAGATTCTGGAAAATCACCCCTTCCGCTTTAATATATATATATACTAGCAGAAACGGCCCGTGCTCAAATGGGATGGCAAAGAAACAATTTTAAATAATTGGGAGACTAAAACTGAATGAAGAAGTTCATATGCGTTGAGGGCTTGGAGAAATTAAATTATTGTATAAAAAAAAAGTTGAGAAGGTATTGTTTTAGTGAAAAAATCTTAGAAAAATATTACTTAAAATAAATTAAAATTTATATCTAATAATAGTGGTGAGAACCTCATATTGAAATGGTTATAAAAATATACTTTTAATTATTTTTTTGGATAAATTATTTTTGAAATTAAGAGAGAATAGGTTAAAAAAAATAAACCTGTATTTCTGGATAAAAAAATCTGTATTTCTAGAAATTAAGGTAAATCTTTTTTTTTTCTGAAAAAGGTAAATCTTTTTTTTTCTGAAAAAGGTAAATCTATAAACCGCATCCTGCTTATAGATTTGGCATCGATCATGGAATGTAATGGCAAAATACACCCAATTAAATGTGATACTATAATTTATGAAATATGAATTAATGAAAAGTATGGAGACTTCAATGTAATTGGTTGATATCTAGATTTACGGTGCAATTAACATGTATTAGTAAATGCACCCTTAATTTTAATTTTTCTTGTCATATTTATTGGCATCTCAATTGTTCACTGTTTCACCCTTGGAAATGCTCTGCTTCTTTTTCCATTAATCAAACATCTGAAGTTCCTCAGTTGCCTGAACATCACCCATCATTATTTAATAAATTTCATGATCTTACCTTCTTGAGGTAAATTTGCTTCTGCACATTTACCTTTTAATTATTTATTTTCTACCAATTTTTTCACTATATAGGATATTTAAATATGCATTGAATATATAATTTCCATGCATAGAAATGCAGGTATACATGAGGCCAAGGTCTTGAACTGGACCTTAATTCCTCGTGGAAGTAGAACAAATTCATGGATGTTTTTGGGTGGAACATTATGCTACTTCTAGCCAATAAACTTTTCCTTAGGCTTCCAAAAGCATCCATGAAATTGTTCCATACCCCTTATTTAGTAGACAGGGATAGATAGCCAAGTCAAGTCCATAGGCAATTCTTTAAAATATGCTGCCTATTGCATGTATACAAAAAAGACACGAGGCATGTATAGGGGAAAAGTGCAAATAACTATTGCAATGCACGTAAGTATTTTTAAGATAAAAATTTAAAATGACAAAATAGTTGGAGACAGATACTCTAAATGTACAATCAATAGCAAGAAACATTTTAATCTCAAGTATATAACTAATAAGAAATGCATAAGCATAACAGAAAATAGAAACAGAAGCCTGCCATGTCTGTTTCAAATAACTGTACAAGAAGAGACTATCCAAGATAAGAAGGAACCCCATGAAAGACACAATCCGGATATGAGACAACATGGGAACAGATGGAGTCGTCTCAAACTCTCAATGTACTCAACCATCTTCTGAGCCAACCAATGCAAAGCTTTAATTAACAGGAGAGCAGTTACCATTGCAAGAAACATAACAGAAAAATCTTGTCGGAATATTGTGATCACAAAAAGGATTTCCATGACTGTTCATTCAATCTCTCAACTTCTGCTTCCATGAGGGACCCAAGGAACAAGTGCTTAATTAACTGCCACAAAATGCACATGACGATCAGACCCATATTTAAAAGAAGCACCAAACTGATCTTGGATGTGAACAGATACACCATAGCTGGGTAAAATTGACCTCTACTGCTGAAGGCATGATAAATTATAGAAAGTGTGCCCACTAAACTAAGCCCGGCATAAGTTTGCAGACTCGTCATCGCTTCTATGAGCTGTTTCGGCACATCATTTAGAAGAACACAAATCAGACCCATATCCAAATTGAAAGTAAGTTCCAATAACTTATGGGACAACAAAAAACCATATGGAAAGCAGAAAATCATCATCTATAATGAAATTGGCACAGATTCTAATATTATTTCAAAAGATTCATCAAATGAATTTCACTTGGTTATCGTTGTGTTATAGGCAATACAGGCAAAGGGGTTGATGATTTTGGCATTAGCCAGATAAAAGCAGAAGATGGTTGGAGAATACCACTCCTAGGTGAATAAGATAAATCACTGGACTGGAGGTCTGTTATGGTGGATTTGTTTGAAAGTCATCCTTTTTGCAGGATGGGATGGTTATTTGTATGGTTCACCTCTGCAGTGAGTTAAGTGCGTTTGCTTCTGTCACCTGCTTATGATTTGGTGTGCTTTCCTTCTTTCAGGTGCGGACAGGGCTGTGGAACTACTTTGTTCCTTCTGAGGGAGTTTTGCCCGCCCTTTATGCTTACCTTACCCTTTACCTTTCATTGGTAATATAAATTTTATCTCTCGTTACCTATAAAAAAAATAATTCAAACAATATTCCACCTTATATATGAATCTGCGCCTCTGGGGGTTAGAATGCCAAGGAAAAACTAGATGAAATGATCCTCAATCTACAGCTAGGCAACTTCTAAATGTCAACTTAATCTTCTCTTCTCCTAAATTTTATAAGAACAGGCACAAAAAATAAGATAAATATAAAAAAAAAATAGATACATAGAACAGACTCTATCTTCTAAACCTACGAAATCTAAAAACTATATTCAATAGGGGAAAGGCTAAAGAAAAACATTAAGCTCCTTTTTTTCTGATTCTCGACGCCAGAGAGAACCAGCTTCAGAGAGAGCAAAAATAGGAAAGACGAACTACAAAACATCCAAGTATTGAAACTGCCAACAATATATTCAATCGGAGCAAGTTTAAAAAATAGATAAGCTCCACAAAAAAAATTGACCCTAATAGAGTGTAACTCCCAAATTACTAATACGCAGTTCAAAAAATGCACTGCTGAAACAAATATAATAGATTTGGGAAAATTGATTTTACGTAAAAAGAAAGAGAGAAGTTAAATACTACGATAGGTCAAATTTCACGAGAAATACTGCAAACTTGGGGGTGGAAGGTTTCTTAAAGGAGTCCCTGAAGAAAACATCGTTTCAGAAAACCCTAATTGAGACTGCAAAACTCAATTTGCACTGAAAGAAGGAGCCCTAATGACAAGACCAAGGCTCGATCGAATACCGCGACTTCTTATCCGAAGAAAAATCAATAATTTTGATATCAAACCCAACAGAAAAAACCCTAATTTCTGCTTTACTACAGATTAACGATTTAAAAATAATAAGTCGAATTAATTCAAGAATCAAGAATACTTACTAGATATTTGTACCTGGAAGTCTGGAACAGTCGAGCAGAACTCGAATTAGAGTAGAATTTCGTCGACCGAGTCGACGAGGAAAACATGCAAACGTGAAAAACCGTTGTTGGCGCAGTTCACCGTTCCTCCACGACCTGCAATGAGAACAAGAACAACTCAAGAATTCCATTCTTGGAAAAGCTTTGATCTGAACGGTAACCCTAGAAAAGAGCAGCTATAAATTTCGCAAAACCCAACAATGTGACACTTTCTTTCAGAAATCGAGCTGTAGCCTGTGAAAATGTCGAAGCGAGATATTCCGTCTTCAACAGCAGCGCAAACAGGACCATCAATCAGATCTACGCGAAGTGGAGACATCAAAACGAAAGAGACCTTCCTTCGATGAGGAGACAGGCCCTCCTTCGTTCTCCCTTCGCAACGACAGGGAAAATAAGGCCAAGGAGATCTCTCGAAGAGGGAGACTCTCCCTTCGAACTTGGGAAGAAGCATCTCGAACTTCGAGAGACTCTCCCTTCGTCAGTTTCTTCGCTTATTGGAAAACGAATTTTGCAACTGCAACTACTGAGCAACCGAGTAGGGAGAGATACAAAGAGAGATAACTGAGAGAGAGGAATCGGAGAAGAGAGAATTAAGAGAGGAGAGTGGCTTGTTCGGCAAGCATCACCTCGAGAGAGGTGATCAAGCATCTCCATCGGGCTCTGCCCAAGGCCAATCTGCCTTTGTCCATCGGTCCAACAGGTCATCGGATTGTCCAACGGGTAATCGGTCTCTATTCTATTTATACGCATCGGACACGTGTCGAGTATAAAACTTTTTAAAACTGTAAACGTATCGAATATTTAGGGGTCACCGTATATCCATCCATCAAATGCTTTAAATATAGAGATAGATATAAGAAATATAAAATAAAAAAAAATAAAACTTAAAAGAGAAAGTTACGGCCACCCTCAATGTTGGGGGTGATGAATTTAGGGCTGTTCACGGTCGGGTTGGGTTAGTTTATTGATGTTTTTTCAATTGATTCGATCTAGTCGAATTATCTGAAATTGAAATTGAATCGATTTTATGTTAAGCAAAATCGACTTGATCGGTTTGAGTTAGTTTGGATCGGTTTGAGTTGGTTTTGGTTCTACTTAGTGGTGACTTAGTTATTGTTCAAGTGTTCATTTCTGATTCTACTTTCCCAAAAGAAACCAACATTTCTTTAATATTTTGTAGCCCATCTATGGATCCAATTGTGGAGGGAGCAGAGTCTGAGAGACAACTTAGTTAAGTAGGTTGTAACTAGGATAGAGACAACTTAGTTAAGTAGGAACTAAATATGTTGTAACTACTAACTAGAAACTAACTAATAAATCGGTTCGATTCGGGTCAATTTTGATTTATACATGAAAACCAAAACCAAACTAAATCATCGATTTATAATTTTTTATAACTCGAAACCAACCGGTACTGAAGAAAACCCGACCAACTCAGATTGGATCAGTCTGAGTTGATCGATTTAGTCGATTGACAAAATCCCACCATTATCTTTCAGATTCTATATTTTTCTCCCGTATAATTATTCCATCACTTTAAAAAGGATTCTCATGTGTGGCGACGGCAATTTTTCACACGCACCCATTCCAAATGGGACAGGCTGGATTCACATCAGCACCTCACAAGAGGACTCCCCACAATGATCCACCACACATCCCAACCTTGTATTGAGAATATCTTCCGATAATGTCTCATCATCTTCCATACTTAATCCCAACCTTGTATTGAGAATATCTTCCCGCTGATTTAAACTCCATCCCACCCCGTTCCCATTCTTAATCGTGATTATCGTGTATTCGTGTGCATGTTTAAACATTTTTAAAATTCCAAACTGTCCTTATGAAACCCTCTTCTAAAATATATGGAGACCCTCTTCTAAAATATACCAATTTATTTATGAGACCCTCTTGCAGAAAACTGATAAATACAACAAAAATAATAAAAATTAAAGTAAAAGTAGGAAATTGTATAAACTACAAAAATACAATAATTGTAGAAAAGAGGACAAACAAAATAAAATTGAAAACTTTGCAGACAAAGAAAAGTAAAACATAGGGAGCATACTGAAAATTGCAAAAAAAAAAAACACAAAAAATAAATTGAAAAAAATACAATAAAGATGCATAAAATTGCAAACAAAGAAAAAGAGGAAATTACAAAAAAAAAAACACTACAAAAGAATACAAAATTTTGAACGAGTATTTTCACGATTTTGTCGTTTAATATCAAATGTATTACCAAAAATCCTACTATTCCCGGATTTACCGGTAATTAGACATGTTCATCAATTTATGGGCAGGCCAAGCCAAGCTTTCTCTCTTTATTAACAGAATACATTCAACTTCAAGCCATTGGGCTTCGATCTTGAGCCTGAAAGAAAATAACAAAAACATGTCCGAGCTCCACAAAGATCAGGTCAGTCTGCCCCATTGAACAAGTCTACCAGTAACAATGCTCCGTTTGGTAAAATTTCTGATTCCAAGAATCACTATTTGAAGAATGGGTTCTGTTTGGGTCAGAACTCCTTTTTTATTGATAAAATTAACGTTCTGATCCAAACAGATACCATTTTGAAGCTAAGAAATAATCAATTCTTGGAATGAGCTTTGAGACCAGAAAAAGGAATCCGTTTCAACGATTTTCAATTGTTGGAATCATCATCATCAAGCCTTCAACCATAAAGGGCTACAGGAATCCTGTTTCACCATTCCATTCTGTTCATTGCAATTTTCAATTCTTAGAATCACAATTTATTCATCAGAACAAATTCTTTGAATGCATGCTAAATAGTAAATACAGCTGTACGTGTTTAATATTTACTTTTGGTTTGGTGTACTAACCCATGTTACACAACAGAAATAAGCTAGTTATACTTTCTATAGGCTGGACGAGTTCTTAGGCAAACCAAACTCGGTGAATAATATAGAGTTATAGACCTGGCAAAAATGCCACATATTAACAAGTAAACAGCACGGAAATGAGAATCCTCTGCTTTTATGGACAAAAGTCTGTACAGGCATATACAGAGCCCTCTAGTTACAATTTACAGAGCCTCCCCATGGAGCTACCTGCCTTAAATCACCCTGCCCTCTCTACAATAAATTAGGCGGGTTCTTTCAATCAGACAATGGGAAGAAGCACTTCTAGACTTATAGTTTCCTACCTAAATCAGCCAAAGCAAATTTTTGCTCCTTACTAGACCAAAATGAAGGTGAGGCGCAGATAAGTAGGACAACAAAATAGATGTTGGGTTCAAACATCAAACCCTAATGGTGGATCCTTATTTTACATGGCAGTCATAGGTGTCAAAAACAGTATCAGGGACGATCAAGGGCAGCTTTTCTATGTACATGAAGAGCCTCCTCAGGTTCTCCCTGGTAAGGGTTGCCATGTCTACTACGTCCCTGCTGTCAGTAAAGACCCAAAGATCACCTGAGTTCACTCTCTTAAGACTGTCCCGGCAGAAGGGGCATGACTGCGATCTTGAATGCCTGCACAATTTGTCACCTGAAGTTTACTTTTACACCTCAACGTATTTAAAATAATAAAGTAAAACAAATTAGCGAAGCAATATTGGTTTCTATGATTACAAGCTAACATTAGTGCAAACACCCATGATTTTCAGAAGTTTTCCACCCAAAGAAGAAATCCTATTTTAAGCACTCCCACGCACATAGCACCAGCAGAAAGACTTCCATCCAAATACAAGGAAACCTTCTAAGGCCAGGAAATAGACAGGAAATTAGCAGGCGGGAACTTGTCTTCAGAGAAGGCTGAATTGGATGGATTTACTGTGGAAAAATGCTCGAGTATCACAAAATTGAAAAATATTGATCCAAGTGCCAGAAATGATGGGATTAATGGTGGACTATAATCACAAGGTACTGATACACCTAAAGAAACACAACTTATTTTTTCAAATAAAGTAATTATTTTACATTTTAGCAAGTAACTGTTAATTGGCATTTTAGCACCCTAAAACATCAAAAATCATGCAAACCGTCACCATAATGGCTATCATGGTTGATAATGGCCAGTATTTGTTTTCATTATATGTGGTATAACACAACACAGAATTACTTAGCTGTTATCTTTAAACAGCGGCTGTTACCCCATCAACCTCTTTCTGACGTGTTACCTGATGTTGTAACGATTAGCATGGAAATCCATGCTTACCCTTTGGATTGTTCATACTCCATTGCTACACTACAAATTCCAAAGTCAAAAACCACTCTAATCAAATAGCTCCTTTTGGTTCATTGAATAATCATCCGGTGAAAAAAAGCAAGTTATAGCACGCAAGCTTCATTTATAAACCCAGAGATAAGTTTAACCAACCAATAATTTCAGTGTCTGGACTAGGTGTGTTGATAAAAAAGATTGTACAAACTTATATTTTTATTCCATGCTTTTTTGGGTGAAGATGTTCCATGCTGAAATAACATATGTGAATGTGACATGGCATATAAAACTACATATGCAAAATCATGAAGAAGAAAAATAAACCCATAAATTATTTGTATAAATATGTGCATATTAGCCATATGTGCATGTACATGTCCCCTTGTAAAAGAGCGGTACAAATGAGAAATTATGAAAACACTGCAATATGTTATCCGTGAGAAAAAGAAAAGATGTGAGACATGATGAGATTTCAAATAATAGAGCAAAATGTCTACTCTAACTATTTTGTTGAATAACAAACTTCAAGGTTGATGTACCCTGTAGGATCAGGGAAATTGCTAGTAAGTTCATGGATGATAGAGTAAGAGAGTAGACATGAGTACCATTCACGGAAGCACTTCATGCACATAGCGTGATTGCAGTTGGGCAAAACAATCTTACTGTTCATCTCCATGCAAATTCCACATTCTTCTTCCCTTTCAACATCTATCTCTGAAAACTGCCTGCAATCTTCATCATCTCTTCTTCTGTACCTCTCCATACACACTGCCTTCTGCCTTTTATCTTCCATATCAGTAATGCCTTGTTGAAGTTGCAGTAACGAGGGGAAAATTACAGCTGGCACAATAGGACATTGGGTAAGAAAACAACGCAACATGCTACATCAGTTAAAGATTAACTGCTATATTTAGCCTATATTTGTAATATTACCATAGAACTCTCTAATACTTGCTTTTCTTTCATGGACAGACATGGTTGTTGTTCCATCCACATAGACCTGTAGCATGAAATTGGATAACCAAATTTGTAATAGAAAAGCAAGTAAAGTTTCCTAGAAATTCAACCAAGCAAAGAAGCTATTCACAACAAAAGTAAAGGGTGAAAGGAAATGGATGTTGACCTTATAAATCAAGATCCTTAGCAGTCCAAGAGCACCGGCAAGGTGGCAGTCTGTCCACTGCACTAGAAAAAGAAAGAGATGTGCAGCAGGGCTGTATGACATTCTCATCTGAAGGCAGGCACCATCATATTCCCTTGGAAAATCTGACGCCCTATAACTTTCACTAACAAATTAGTAAATGGACTAGAAGATACTAAGAAGCTTGTTTGAAACAGAAGAATACGTGAATAATGAACAATGAAAAAGAAAGAGTTAGCCTTTATAAGAAGAAAGAAGAAGATAGAAATGCATTTTAAAGGGAACTGATTAAAAAGACCTGAAGCCTTGAAAGTAAACAACACCAATAGCTTCTTTGAATAATTGATAAAGGATACCGTTTTTGAAAGTAGTAAAACACTAAATTTAAAAGAGATAATATCTTTTTTTCCCACATATTCTTGGACTGCAAGCATGAGAACGTGTTGAAGTCTGCAAGCAGCCACTCTGTGCACAAAAAAAAAAGAAAAAGAAAAAGAAAAAAAAAAAGAATGCTAAAGGTCAGGTCTGTATCCAGTACCAGATATCTGGGACCAACATTGAATAATAACCCTTTTATCTTTTTCCTCATAACTACATTTCTCCTGCAGTCTCTTTTATGGGAAACATATCTGTTGCTTTGAAGAATTTCCTATTTGCAAATCAAAGCCTACTTTGAAGCCTCCTGTTATTATCACTACTTAATAATTCTCAAACTTGAAATGGCTACTTATGTTGTGTACTTACAGAATCTTCAAGAGCTTAATCTTGTCTACTCCACTAAAATGATGAAATTTACACAATTTGCATTGTTCAACAAGCATCCCACATCATATAAGAGTCTCTGAAGTCAAGTGGATAAGTTCTACTACAACATAGGTTTTTTTCTAGTAACATATTATATATAAAAAGCAGGAAAGCACAAGAGATTATCTACATTGGTTCATGCATAAAATATAGAAAAGCATCTCTCAATACTAGAAAAAAGTTCCATATTCCTAAGTTGGCAAGACCATCAGCCACGGTACTCATTCCCCCGGTAATCCATCTAGCGCAAGCCCTAGCTTTCCAAAATTTCCCAAACTTCGTGTTGAACAAAGTTCTTTTAAGACAGGAAAGTATATTAGAGGATGCACAACATGGTTCTTTAAGCAAAATGGAGACCCACTGTTTTCATCAAGCAATTTCAAGCATCATCTTAAACAGCAAATGCAAGGCAAGCATTCTTAATTCTCTAAGCATACAAATATCACACTATGATGTTGCAGCTACGTCATAACCAGAATCAGCCCACAGTCCACTGGCACTAGCATATGAATCCAAGCAAGCAAAACAAGTGTCAATGAATCATGTCCAAATGTGTGAAATAAAAAATCAGATTGCTTTCAAACACTTGTCCCATTCCCTGTCAACAATATTCTCCTTATTCATCTCTTCTTTGCGAGGTAAGTAAACTAGAAACTCAAGCCTATAATTTATGGTTCCACCATTCCATAAAACATACCCTCACATGTAAGCTAAGATACTTGAACTATTGAACCTGCAAAGATGCTCAAAATCATTATCTATTGGCATAGCCTTTTATATGTTTCACATTGTCTCTTCTATTTATTAACATTCTATATGCTTCATGATTCAGTGCACATCTACAGCACCAGTAAGATGTGGTCTGTTGCAAGTTGAAGGATTTAGAAGAGCTAAAAAATGATTTAAACACTAAAAAAATTATTTGAGCACCCATAATTTAACAATGGATATGGCACTGAACAGAGAAGAATGGCAGAACAGGATTCAAATAACTGACCCCGTAAAGTTGGGACAAGGCTTTTGTTGAGTTGGTAGGAAGCCTGATACAAGTTCTAGTAATGTTTTTCCATGGCTTCCATGTCGAAATTTGTACTATGAGCAACAGTTTTCTTGGCTTCAGTCAAAAGATCTTTTGATCAGTACTCGGTCAAAAGATTTTTCAAACAGTTAAAAGTGTTGATACTGAAGAAGACTCAGAATGTCCAGTTATTAACAAAGAAAAAGCTGAGATAAGCATATTACTAGGATAAGAATGCCTTTTATGGGTCAAAAGACTTCAAAGAGAAACGGAAGCAAGGGGCATTGCAACCATCAAGGCCTACAAGAGGCAAAAGAGTCACAGCTTCCTATGAAGAAAACAAGAGAAGAAAACTTCGGGATGAAAGCAATCTCATATTGGTATCGTACAGAAAGATATTGAGAATCGATCATAAGATAACTGAAATTAAACCTGAAAGCATTAATTTGAATAGATAACATAGAAATTTTATGAACATTGCAAGTCCCAACGAATTGCGGTAGAGAGATCTTTGAAAATCTAAGGAGGGAGGGCCAAAAACACAGGAGACTAGAAGAAGAAACTTGCTTATCATACCGACATTAACAAACCAAAAAAACAAAATCACGGATAGGATGTAGAAAAAGAAGAAAATAAGCAGGCATTCAAGAACTATAACAACTAGGAGTTGGAGAAAGAAATAACTTGAGAGAGCAAAATGAAAATACTCCAACCAAAAATTATTTCTCAATAGGGCAAAGACCAAAAAGGAATTAAGGAACACAGAAGCTTATTAACATTAAAAGTTATGGCTTTTACACAAAGCATCAATTCCAAGCAGCAGTTGGATGGGAAAAAAACGAAGCCTTTCGGAAAAGGGACTGGAAAGACATGAAATTTCAAGAAAAAAAGGGGGGCAGGGGAGGCAAAAATCATCGTCTTCGAACCACAACGATAACCGATATTTTCAGCAGAAATTTGGAAAAGTAAAATCAAACAGATAAAACATATACAAAGCGAATTCAACACAGAAACAACATTTCTGAAAGAAATTAAAATATAAAAAAGTACTAGAACACTTACAGTGTATTGGCATGCTGAATGTCCGCTTCAAGAACTTTCAGGGAATCCTTAAAGGATTTTCGCATGGAACCAAAGTACATCTCCCTCCCAAATTCTAGGGAATCAAGCACAGACCATCTAACGCTCCCTCCGCCAAAACCCTAAATTTCTCCCCCACCCTCTCTCTTTCTCTCTCTTCCCCCTCTCTCTTCAGAGTCTCACTGGTTTTTCTTCTACCTTCTACGCTTCTTCTTTTTGAAAGAAAAGAGAAGAAGAGAAGACTGGACCTCAATGGTCGCCACGTGGAAAAAAGGGTGTCACGACGGCGTCAAAAGAATAGCGTCGAAGTGGATGGACGTCGACCGGGAGATATTTACGCTTGACACCCTTATCCACTACTGCTTAGCTTTCGGTAGCTTTGCCTCCACGCTGGGATGATGGAGGATCCATTGACCAAATAATCACCCTCCATGTCTGGTCCAAATAACGGAAATGCCCTTCCTATTTCCATTTTGGAAGACGCATTGAGAACTGATTACAGTGTACCGTCCAAACCATTCCGGGCTCTCCAACATCCGGACCAAATGATCAAACAATCCGATAACCTCTTTTCGGTCAGAGATTCTAAGCTTAGAATTTGTAGAATATTGCAGTCATAAAGTAAGTTTAATTTTTGGGTAGGGTCCGAATTTATGGACCAACTACGTTATATACAACATATATAAATGATGGTAGTAATGAGTGGGACCGTTCAAGATAATCTCTTTGGTTTTGTGTATTTACTTTTGTTGTTGTGTATTTAACTAAGGAGCTGTTTGGTACAGTGGCATAGTTTGTTTTTATTTTTTGAGTTGATGAATGTAAATTTGTGTGAGAGAGCTTTTACTTAAAATGTTTTTAAATTGATCAATATAAATTGTTGTTTTTATTCAAAACGTTGAATTTGATGTTCTTTACAAATATACATTATTTTAGTTGGAATCACACTCATATATGATATAGCAGTACTTATTTCTCACAAATTTATGTTGATCAAGAACAGTAATGCAATGCCACTGTACCAAAACACATCCTAAATTGCTGGTATGCTTTGGAGTTTTGTAGTGGTCTATAGGGCTCATTTGTTTGCACCAAATGGGCATTCTTTGCAAGGTGCCAACCAACGATCGGTAAGATCCCCTGTTGGTTGTAGCGGAAATTTGGGATCAAATCCCGCCTGCATCTAGGTTGGGGGGTTATGGGTTGGGGATAGACTATCCCGTTGTGTAGCCTTTCAAAAGAAAAAAAAAAAAAAGACACTCATTGAAATAATATCTGAGCTGATTCTTGATTTTTAGAGGTTTTGATTGTTCGGTCCACCCTAATAAATTTTAGTTCTAACATACAGTTGGGGAAGGGTATGTGCGAGCTCAAAATTGATGTCAATACATGGGTGGGTATTGGTGTTATAAGTGAGGGTATTTAAAATTTTGAATTATTGTTGGTGTGTAGTGGAATTTAAAATTTTGAGGTGGAGTGCAATATAATTTTTAAGATTCCTCTTAATAATAGCTCAGATGTCTATCTACCTGTTAGTGAGTTAAGAGGTGTTTTATGACTTTTTGTTTCAAAATATGACCTTTAATCTATATCTTTTACTCTTACCTAAAACCTTGACTTTCTTTCACAATGATGCCTTTCTTTTGCTTCTTTTTATTTGATGGAACTAGTATTACTACTAAATTATTTTTCTTTCCAATTTTTCCTTTTTTTTTCTCATTATTGATACAAAAAAGCTAATAAGTTCATAGGGGTATGGTTCAAAGTATTGATAATCACAATAGACAAAAATGGCACATCACAAGTTTTCAAACATCAAGTCTCTCTCTCTCTCTTTTTGATATTATCAATCTAATATTTCAAGAATCAAAATCTTAGGAGGGGTTATAATGTCTAAACCTATAGAACCTCCATAAATCCTTGTATTTGTATTTTGCATTTCGAACCCTAAATCTGTGATATTGTATGATACATATCAATACTTTGAACCACAGCATAGGGGTAAATCTGAAAACAATATCTCTTCAAATATTATTACATTCAGATACTCATCAACCAGTTTGACTACATTTAGAGGATAGAAGCAAAAAACCAAACTTTAGCTATTTAGAGTCTAGAACCACACTTTAGATACATTTTTCTTGCTTTCTTAGACATTAGAGTTCAATTTTACCAAATGCTACCTACGAATGATTGTAACTCATTAACCTCTTCATGTCAAAAATTTAATTTTCATTCTTAGTGTTTTTTTATGATTGATATAAAATGTATATGTTTTGGAGAAATTAACCAAATTTGTTAAGGGCACAAGTAGGCTGATCACTGTAGGGGTTTGGCCCTTAGTTGGGGGTAGACTAATAATTTAGTCATGTAATAAGATACTAAGAGTATATAAAGTTACTAGTGACTATATAGTCTAGGGTTTAGGTATAAAAAGTCACGATGAATTTATTGAGCAGGTTTATGAAAGCCCGACCCATAAGACTCGATTAGGAGTAACATGTCAAGTGTAATTTCAATGCAATATGTCATATTGAATTACATAATTATATGTAAACATAGAGAATCAGTTCATCTCTTTGGTTGGATCAGGTTTAACTTTTTAAGTCGTATTGGGGAGGGCTAAGCTGAATATTTGGTTAAACTGGTTTAGCACTTTAGCTGCCAATCAGCTGTTCAAATGACTGACTGATAACCGATTTAGATTTACATAACTTATAAACTGTTCATGTGGGACTCTCCACAGAAAGCCATTTTGGCTTTCCCTTTGGTGGTTTTTGGCTTTGCAAAGTGGGCCTCAACGAGACGGTATACAAGTAATATTTGGTGTAGCCAAAATAAAGTAGTATTTGGTGTAAAATGCAAAAACCCAAGCTTACTGTCCTTAGCCAAAAATAGTGCTTTTTTTTTTTTTTTCTGTTGAAACTTCTTTCTATTGGCTTTTCCAAAACAGCTCAACCAAAGTTTCTGCCCTCCCAAACGGGTGGAAAGCAGCCCATAAGAAGCAGGACATAATGTGTTGTATAGGTTTGAGTTTTGCCTCTTCTACCTTTGATACTGATGTTAAAAACAATAGTTTACTCAACTAGTTGCGTTTCCTGCGTAAAAACAATAGTTGGGACTGGACACTAATTCGGATTATTCAGATTAAGGGCCCGTTTGGTTCTCAGGAATAGAGGTCTGGAATTCGAATCGAAACTCATTCCAATTCTAACTCTCTGGATTATTTTGATTTCAACCGTTTGGATGGGTAGAATTAGAATCTTATTTTCATTCTTGGTGAAATGGTATTTTGCTATTTGAGGGAATGACTATTCTCTCTCCCTCCTTCAAAATGAAATCTTATTCTAGCTAATTCTAATTTTTATTTTTATTTCTATCTAAACCAAACAGAATAGATTATTCTGATTCCGACTTTGAAGACAAACTAAATAACCCTAAATTTATTATAGCATATCATTTCATGTTTTTTCCGATTTTTGCTGAAAATTAGATATATTTATTATGAGTTTCAGGCTGTTAGACATGGCAGCTTATATTATAGCTCAATTTGAGGGGGTGTATAGATGGCTTGTAAACTTGTCAAACTTATATGCTATTTTACTTCCTCACCTCCCCCAAGGAATCTTGGTTGGGATTAATGCAAATCAAGTACCAAATTTAAAAAAATTTCACTCTATCGATCCATATAAAATTTAACAAATGCTCGACCTAGGATAGGATAGCCCAAGTTGCACCCTACATGGGTGACATATATATATGGAGCTGATCAAAAATCATTTGTAACGCGTGCTCTATATTTTTTACATCGCTACTTCCACTTCCACTTGTAAACACATTCACGCCACGTTGCTACTATATATAATTGGTAAGCTGCAAACTAGTTCCTTGTACTAATTCCAATTTCCAATACACGGCTCTTCCCAAGGCTAGCTGCCAAAAATACATTGTTAGCAGAAGAAGAGCTCTTTTAACCATTTGACCTTCTTGACATTAGAGCTTCGTTTTAGGGGGATTCGCTAAGTTGGATCTCCCTTTTTCAACTGTTATTCTCTGCAAATAGAACTTTTTCTTTTTTTTTTTCTTTTGCTTCATATACCCATATATAGCGCTCTCCCTGAGCCTGTTTGGGTGGGCTTCAGCAGCATTGATTCTGCTGTGTTGACTGAGTTGCTTTGAAGCTATCTAAAATAGCGTTAAATGGAAATCAATTTCTCAGCTCATGTATAGTGTATTTTTAACTTTCCAGGATTTTTAGTCAAACATGCTTTCTGTGTGGGACGCCAAAAGCTGCTGTAAAAGTCCTCCCAAATGAGTACTAAATATAACTTGTGCAAATGTAGCACTCCTTTTTTTCCACCCCACGTCTGTAAAAGTCCTCCCAAATGGGTACTAAATACGACCCTGGAATCAGAATCGGAATTGTTCATTCCAATTCTAGATGTTTGGTCGACCAGAATGGGAATGAGGAATCAGAATGCCATTCCTCCATATGGGGGAATGGCCATTCCCGACCCCTTCCCCCGGAATGCGATTCCCATTCCGCTAATAGTTTTCATTTTTCTTCTTTTTGGATAAAAAAATTCCTCCAATCCAACTTGCGATTGAGTTGTGGTGAGAAGGAAGAATCCCATGCCGTTGCTGTCAACCTCATCTCCGGTGAGGAGGTCAATCTCTTCTCTCTTTCCTCTCTTCTTTTTCTTCTTCTTCTTCTTCTTCTTCTCACATTCCCTCCCTCTGTTCTGTCCTTGCCGATGCAATGGTCGTTGTAGCGGCAGATTGGACCGAAATCCCTCTCTTTTGATCTCTCTTCTCCCATTTTCCCTATTTTTTTTTCTGATTTCTTTTATCATTCCTATCACTCTTTCGGTGAGCAAGGCACAACATTTACGGATACTTGTTCATCGTCTTCCCCGACGAGACGACAATCTAGTAGCGACACGAATCCAGTTTTCGTACATATATTCAGTGATTTTTTGCGGTTTTTGGGTTTACTCTCGTTTACCATCGGTTTCGTCAGTTTTTCAAGGACTCCCCTGTTATTGTTCTTTGTCACATGTTAAGAAAAATCATCTATAACGAAAATCACTCAAGAGAATCCATCTTTCTTCCAGACTTCAAGCAAAGTCCATGCTAGTGAGGTTGTCTTCTCTTGTGAATCGCCCCCATCCACATTCCTGATTGCCATTGTGGCTCATA